AGATTCAAAGTGTAAAAATGTCTAGTACTTTGAATGTTTTAGAAAAGTATTCGAGATAAAGATGTATGGAACTACTGAAAATTACTTTAGATTCCTTTTCCTTATTCTGTAAATTCTTTGATTGGAATATGAATGTTGCTGGAAGTATGATAATTTTCACAGGACAATGATATGAATGGAACTTTAAAACTATTTTAAGTGTTACAGTGATATTTCGTTATATGTTCCATAATGTCAATAATATTGATTTCCTTGCAACATCCATAATTATTACAAATGTCAATATAACGAAATATCTTTTATGCGATGTTTGTGGTGTAATAAAAATCTGTGTTTCGATTACGTTTTTGATACGTATTACTCACTTATATGTAATAATATAGAATAAAAATATACTATTAGTCCGATATTTGAAAATATGCATGCGTTCGTTGTCACTGTTAAACTGTTGTAATAACAATGGAATAATAAAATAATTTACTCAAATGTACATAATAATACATATACATATCCATAAAAACAATATTAAACGCAATAACTTTTTTGTACGCGAAGAAAAACTAATATAGGTCCGTCGGGATACGAACCCAAGACTCCTTTCTAATACGTCTACTTTATAGCGAGCGGACGGAAGAGAATCCGTTCACGACCATGGTCCCTACTTAGATTTAACGTAGTTCACAAATTCACCGTTTTCATAACGTAGAGGGTAGCAGAAAATCCCTGACTTTTTACACTATCGGTATTTCAGAACATGAGACACGAAATCCCATAAGATGATAGGTCTATCCTATACCTAGTCGGTGCCATAATATTTGTGTAAAAAGACTATTTACTATATATTTTGCAGACAACAAATTTTGTGATTTTCCATTTGCGAATATCTCATTAAATATAATAGTTGTGATGGGAGCAATTTTAAATTCTGAGGGAACAAATTAGGAGCAATTATTAAGATGGAAATTGTTAAGAAATACTAATATTCCGCGCCAACTATTTTCGGTCCGTTGCTTTCAAATGTTTAATCTATTTTAGATGGCGCAGAACGCAGTTGTCTGCGTTGTCATTTTTCGCCGACGTCAACCATGGCGGAGGAAAAAGTTAGGTTATATTAGGTTAAGTCTTTATCTGTCACCGTGCAAAATATTATAAAATCTTGACGACAATATTTTCGTATACCATGGTCTGAAACGTATACGAATGCAAAACGGGAATATAGAAAAGATGTCGTATTTACATGACTGGAGACAGGCATTACGTGTTCCGCACGTTTACAGAGTTGCCAACAGTACATTTCGCATTCAGAGCCAATATTTGGCCTTAATTTTCTTGTTATTGTCCGTTCCCGTGTTTTTGCTCGGATTTCCCCTGTTGCGCGGAAGTGTACGCCCATCGTCGTCGAATCAGTTTTTAAATGAGTGTCGTTACTACAAGTACAATAAAACTTACCCTTTGTCACCACCACTTAGAACGTCAAAAGGTGTTACCTACAGAATAGCAATAGTAAGTGATCTCGATCATGATTCCAAAAGCTTGGACAAGAAAAACACGTGGCATAGTATTATGAAAACTGGCAGCCTCTTTTGGGATCGTAGCACCAATTTCATATCTATCATTTGGGACGATAGGAATCAGACACTAACATCCTCGTTAACTATGAAAGGACGTGGTATGGAACTGTCTGAACTGGTTACCTTTGATGGACATTTATTGTCTTTCGATGACCGTACAGGAGTAATATATGCTATTGAGGGTGAGGAAGCTTATCCTTGGGTGATATTAATGGATGGAAATGGAAAGAATTCGAAAGGTAAATTTGGCTTAAGATCCTAAGATTGAGTTAATCCATGTATTGTTGAATTGATGCCACATTTGTGGAATTGTTTACAGGATTTAAAACTGAGTGGGCAACTGTTAAGGATGAATATTTATATGTTGGTAGTACGGGAAAAGAATGGACTACTCCCTTGGGAGAGTTTCAACATAATAATCCACTTTGGGTGAAAGTGATATCCCCACGTGGTGAAATTCATTCTTTGAATTGGATGTCAAATTATAAAAGATTAAGGCAAGCACTGAATATTGAATATCCAGGTACATAATTAAGTTCTTGGACTCAACTCTATTACACCTGAATGTTATAAATAATCATTAATATCTTATAGGTTACATGATTCATGAGTCAGGTGATTGGAGTGACGTACACAAAAGATGGTTCTTTTTGCCAAGACGGTGTTCCCACGAACGCTACGTTGACACTAAAGACGAAACACTGAGTTGTAACGTCTTGTTAACAGCGGATGAAAACTTCGTGGACATTAAGGTTATCTGAAATTTTCATTTCGTTGATTCGTTTTAACATTCTAAAAATACTGACAAAAATCGGTTTTTAGGTTACCGAGATTGGTAAATTAAATCCACTGAGAGGCTTCTCAACATTCAAGTTCCTGCCGGGTTCGGAGGACTCGATTATCGTCGCGCTTAAGACAGAGGAGTATCTGGGACAAACTGCCACGTACATCTTGGCCTTCACTATTGAAGGTGTTATAATAATGCCGGAGGTTAGGCTGGTGGATAAGAAATTCGAGGGGTTAGAATTTATATAACATTCCATTTAGGTATATCGTTACTGAATTGAAATGAAAATGTAAATAAATGTACAGATTTTCTAGTTGTATACAGCTATAAAAACGTCAAGGCCGAAAAGACTGTGTAGGTTACATTGCACAGGTTCTTTTCTCAAGCGCAAAATCGTTGCTTTGAGTTCCTTCAATTTTCAGACCACATACATATATACATACACAAACAACAATCGCACGCATCTGTAAATACATGTACATAAACGTTTCAAGGAAATAATCGCTTATAAATATACGACAAATCGCTATTTTAAGGGAGACCAATCTTTGGCAGAAATTATACAACAAAACCGTTTTATGATGCTTTTTTATGCGTTGACCATTATACTACCTACGACAGAATAGTTTTTCGGTTGATTTATTTCTGTTAATTCCTACTTCGAAATATCCTACTCCAAAAAACAGATCCCGGCGAGAAACTTTTGTCCGGTATCGTAATACGGTTTCAGGGTCGTGTAATGTATATGGTGTAAAATCAATAATACATATACATGTGAAAACTCGAGGTGGTGGCAGCAGCATTGCGCTATACTGAGAGAAGAATTCAGTCAATTCGTGGCACTATGGGGAGCAAGCTACGTGTAAGGGATGTTGAATCCAAACTTTCCTGAATTGACAGTATTTTTTTTTTCTTTTCAATGAATTCGTCTAAACCGGTGGTGACAACGTGCAGTTCTCTATGACGGTTTCCCAAATAATTACGACCGCCGTGTGACACGCGAACTTTATCTAATAAATAATTCCTCAAATAAGAAAGCACGATTAAAAATATAAATAAAGTTTCGGTATGCCTAGATCGAAATAAACCGAAGATTTGAAATATTTGAGAATCAATAACAAATCTGTTTTTTTTTAAAAAGACGAATAAATTTATTGACATAGGAAATTTTTATAATCCACTTTATTTGCTCTCTGTCGAAAGTGATTGTAATTGATCAGTGTTAAGGATTCAGCTGCATCGTGTCAATAAAAAAGGGATTTCTTGTTCCTTCGTGGAACATTTTCCCGGATGACGATTAATACCTTTACTGCTTGATCAACCACTTTCTCACTGTGTGTGTGTCGCGATGGAGCACACCAGTGTGGTCGCCAGATGAGCGTCTGCGTCTCATCCACGACGATGAAACGGCGACCACAACGCGTCTGACAGTACTGCGACCACTGGGACGCAAATCGTCGTGGATAACACACATATTCACGTCACCAATAATTCATTGAATTTGTTGAATTTCGAAAAAAAGGTCTGTTTATTCGGCCGCGGATAGCTACTCTGAATTTTCCACACACCGTTCGATATCCAGTGAAATGTCCTTCACTTGACACACCTACACGTGGGTGATACCATCAGTATCCTCCAGTCTGGAATACCTTGTTTCGTTTTTGAATCAACGAGAGAAGTACGATTTCAAAGAATCATGGCTAAAAAATCCGAAGACACACAGGAGTGGCAGATCGCCAGAGAAGGGATTTCTCTACATTTGAATAATAAAACAGAGGAAGCTGAAGCCCTGTTCAGCAAGTACCCTAACAGCTTTCACGTGAAGGCCGGCCGCTGCTTCGTTTTGTTCATGGTATGTAAATAGTATATTAAAATTCATTATTTGCCTTGTTGTTTCTTTTTCTCGCTGAGGAGTAGTGCTTTGTTATTGCGGCGAAAATTTGGTAGACGCGAGATTGGTCGAAGATAAACATCTACAAAATTGTCTCAAGGCCAGCCATAGCCGCAACCGGTGAACTGTATTGGGCCGTTCCAGAGGCTTTGATACATTTACAGTGATTTCACTTTTATTAAATGTGTAGGTAAAACATTTCGAGAATAAAAAATAATAAAACCTAATGACATGAGATCGGAAACAGAGATCGTGTAGTCGCCCAATTGGCTTTTTATTCCTTTTTAATAAAATGAAGTAAACTTAAAATCCAATGAAACATAATCAAAGGAAATTAGAAAATACCAAAGAAAATTGCTCTGCTTAAATGAACTTACATGCATGAAAATGAATTCTTTTTAAATATTGACAAAATGGCATTAAGATTTATGCATATTAAGCCGATATTAACATATAAACATTTGTACTTTGTATATATTTGCATGTATTAAAATATTGAATTATTTTGCGATGCATCTTTTATTAAACAAATGTTGTTTTCTCTTGAATGAAAGATTAATGAAAATAGGCCGGTGCAGTATCGCGTGCCGTCTTATGGCCGTGCAATGTGTATGTATTGACTGAAGAGCTATTTAAACGTCCGCCCTAATGACGTCTTACAAAATATAGGCTGCATCGCTGCAGGAATATATTCGTCGCGATTTTCATGAAACTTTATTATGGCTTTTCTGCTTATGAAGTAAGTAAGACAATCGTGTGACACGAGTTGTAATTAAATATTGCTGAAATTTTCGTTAATTAGATTGCTGAATCACGAAAATAAACATACTTGTTCGTTTGAAAATTTACCGTAAATAGGAACAATTCGGAATATTTTACGATCTGTTTCGCACAATACGTGTTATTATCATTATTTTTATTGACTACAATTAACGCTTTACACTTGGAAGTTTTAATTTTTCATACATTTTGTCCCTTCAGAGGGGACAATCGAGTGCAAAGGGTTAAAATAATTTTCTAAAAATTAGTCTCAAATTCTTCTAATTCACTTCCAAGAACTTCAGATTTTTAATAATAATTGTATAAACAAATCTATTAACTGATAAAATTCTTTGAATTTGAATAAAATATGAATTGCTACATTTCATATGCAACGATATACAATATTTGTAATATAATATGTAAATTGAAATAATATGCATAATTGCGAAACACCTTGTATAATTTGAAAGCAACCATAACAGTCGACCAATTTTCGATTCAATTCAGTCGAGACTAATCATTTCTAGAATGCCTTAATGACATTCGAGGATGACAATCTCGAGCAAGCCATGGAACTATTGAAGGATATGGAAAGGGAGTGCGCGAGGGACATAGGATGGTTGAAGTCGATGAAGAGCCAAGTATTCAGAACGGAAGAAACAGGAGTAATTTCTTACATCCCCCTTAGAGGATGTTTCACTTATATCAACCATCGTTCACAGTGTTGGGCAAACATTCACTGAAAATTCGAAATCTCAAATAATATTTCAAATACAACAAAGTCGCGTTAACTGCGCGAACCTCGGGACCGCATAAGCGCGCAGTAAACGTGAACGGTCACTGTTTCAACTCCTTGTAAATATGGAGCAGCTCGCCTTTGTAAATACAATGTAACGCCAGCAGCGCGATGGCCGCAGAAAAGGATAGCGAATGTGAAAGGAAAAGAAGTTAAGAGTCGAGGCAGCCGAACGTTGCGTTAGTGTTGATTTATGTATTATACGCATTATACGCTTGACTGGGTTCGAGGGGAATCCTCCCAGTGGAGGGGATAACGTGGAAAATGTTACAGTACCTTTCGCGCAGTTAAAGCGACTTTACTGTATATTAGGTTATAAAAACCATTGTGTATACCCATTTGCTTTTAACAAAAAATAAATAGTTATTAATCCGTCAGAATGAAATTCTAGATTTTTAGAGTTAACGAATTCTTTGAAAGCCAAGATCTGACAATTTGCTAGACTCCAATTGTCATATATGAGATAGATTCTCTCTGAAGCATTTCTCCTTATAAGATTATTGTTTCGGCGTGGACCCGATTTCGGGACGATAATCGAGAGGAGTCTGTATTTCATAACAATATTTTAATAATCACTTGCGTTAATATCGAGAAAATTGATCTGTAACAGTTTCAACAAACACCCTCGAATAACATACGTGTACATATACCAGCAAGGAAATAGAGATTTTCATTTGAAAACAATCATTCGAATAAATGATCATTTTGAATAAATTTTCATTTAAATAATCATTTAAACGAAATTTCACTTACCCGATGATAATCTGAGTGAATTGTCAACAACCTATCAACAAATTATTAATAAAAAAACAATTATTCGAGCAAATTTCCATTCGAATGATTATTTAAACAAATTTTCATCGAAACAATCATTTTAACGGAATTTCATTAAACTAATGCCCAACATTTTGAGTCACGTGGTACACTCCACGTGTCAACGGTTATTGAGGTACGTATTGAATTAATGATTGCAGTCGGACTACGTCAATCGATTGGAGAGACAAATAGTCCTGGCGGACGCGAAATTTTGCAGAGCGATATTAACATTGCTGCAACAAGAGCTCACCGGTTACGTGCGCGGCGGTTGGACGTTACGTAAAGCATGGAAGGTTTATCAATATGCACACTCGCAGATCTGGCAACTGTATCAGCACACGTTCGGCCGAAAGTCCTCGGGTATGGAACCGCCATTGTTCGTCGAGTACTCTCGATCGTTTTGCCACAATGTGCTTTTCTTTCGAATATAGAGATCTTATGTCTTTGTTTGCTTAGCATTGTAACCACCACGGATGAACGTACTATAGATATACAGGGTGTTCCATTTAAATAGATCCCCTCGAATATCTCTGAAATTATCCGTGACACCGGAAAGTGTTTCAAATAAAAGTTGAATGGTATCGAGGGGGGCATAATTTGATTTCTATCCGAACGTTCTAATATGAAAATGTTGTAATTTTCTAACGTCCTATTATCCGAACGTTCCACTACCTTAGTGTTTTAGTATCCGAAAGTTCCACTACCCTAGGGTTCTAGTATCCGAACGTTCTATTATCTAAACGTTTCACTATCCAATTGTTCTAGTATCCGAACCTTCTACTGCCCGAATGTCCTGCTATCTGAACGTTCTAATATCAAAACGTTGTACTTTTCGAACGTCTTATTATCCGAACGTTCCACTATCCTAGTGTTCTGGTAGCGGAACGTTCTGTTATCCGAACGGAGTGTCATCCACCAACATATATGGATTCCATAAATATCTACTGAAACGGTCATTTTTTGGATCTCTCTTTAAATAAATGAAGTTTACCATCGGAAAAGTGACTGTTTTATTATCCTAGATAATGAACGTTTTACTACATCGAGTTACACTTCTACATCAAGTGTTTTCGATAATATAGTTATGTTCCAGTAGGTATCCACACGAGATGCAGTACACCTTCATCCATCGACTCCTCGTACTCCCTGCACAGTCTGCAGAGTCCAGGCTCGTCGGAACTGTCCATATCGTCTTGCAACGAGTCTGCGACCAACGTGACACCGATTTCGTCGCCATCAAGCCTGCGAAACTCTCTGTCGATGCTCTTCTCGTTAACCGGCATCACTTACGAGCAACAAACACCGTAATTCTTTGTTATTCTCTTAAATACGCCCCTCGTACGATTTATTCGTTCTCCTAATAAGTACTTTTAGTTTCCAAAAATTTTAAATTTGAACTGTTACAGGTACTTCTATTTGAATTGTCACGTTTAAAACATTCAGACGTACTACAGCCACTCACACATTGGATCATACACATTCAAGCTGACAATTGTCAGGTGTGCTAAATAAGTAATTCGCTATGTTTGCAATAAACTTCTGATCGAATTTAAATTTAGAACACTTGCTCGATCCTTTGTTTAGTCACAATGACGCAAGCTGATGAAATGAAACCTACAAATATTATTAATTGTAGTGTGAGTATGTCAGTTCTTTCGGAACAAATGTAGAATTTACAAAAAAAATAGTGAATTACTTACTTACGCACCTAGCAGTAAGACATGTATGGAAAATTTTTTATACAATCTTTATTCACATATCCTCATCATTTTGACTGTTATCGTCCTTTTGTGATGAATCTTTTTTAATTTCAAAATAAGTCGAATTTAAGTCAACTGTGGGTAAATGTGATAGCTCTCCGTAGAACAAATTTTCAAAACGCTGTTGTGTACTTTACGCCGAATCATTGGACGTTTAAATGACCAATTGGTTATTGTAGAATAAATGATTAAAGTCACCGGTGACCGCTAAGAAAACGCAGTTACAATTACCAAGGACCAATAACTAAATCTAAGCGACGGTTACCGGTGACCGGCAAGGAGAGCTTAATGCCTGTCATCGATGATCGATAAGAAAACTCAGTTACAGTTACCGATGATCAATAAGTAAATCTAAGTGACGGTCACCGGTGACCGGCAAGGAGAACTTAGTGCCTGTCATCGATGACCGATAAGAAAACTCAGTTACAGTTACCGATGATCAATAAGTAAATCTAAGTGACGGTCACCGGTGACCGGCAAGGAGAACTTAGTGCCTGTCATCGATGACCGATAAGAAAACTCAGTTACAGTTACCGATGATCAATAAGTAAATCTAAGTGACGGTCACCGGTGACCGGCAAGGAGAACTTAGTGCTCGTCACCGGTGAGCGACAAGAAAATTCAGTTACAGTTACCGATGATCAATAAGTAAATCTAAGTGACGGTCACCGGTGACCGGCAAGGAGAACTTAGTGCTCGTCACCGGTGAGCGACAAGAAAATTCAGTTACAGTTACCGATGATCAATAAGAAAATTTAAGCGCCGGTCACCGGTGACTGTCAATGTCGATCAACAGGTTAACTTAATACGTTCATGCCTAATGATTCCGATAGCCGTCGACGACTGCGATGATGCACGTGAAATGTTTTTTCGTCGAATTTTAACAGAAGTCATCAACACTGTTCGCAGCTTCGTGGCGCCCACGGAGATATCCCGATTAATGTCCGCGGTGAACTTTGGTTATGGGATTTACCAGTTGTGTGTCAGTTTATTGCCACACTCCCTTGTGAAAGTGAGCCACCTTCTGGGGTTCGAAGGTGACAGGGAGGCGAGCCTAGCCGCGCTGAAGAACGCTCGTCTTAGCGAGGACATGCGGGCCCCACTTGCAACGTGAGTCTTTTTGTGTACTGTTGGTCGCGTTAACTGCGTGAAACTTGGGACCATATGCGTGCAGTAAGTGTGGACGGTCATCATTTTAACCCGTCGTGAATTCTCTTGTTACGCTGTTGTTATCATGGAACACTAAATTTTTGGTGATTCTATAAGTGTTACCCCACCATAAGTGCGTGTTTTGTTGTCCCTCATATCGTTGCGTTGTGTATAGTCCCTCGAGAAGATGTAGCGAGCTTTTATACGAATTTTGTTTTGATTTCATGTGAATTCCGTATTGCTTTTATGCTTGGAATCTTACATTTTTTACGTAGTAAATTAAAACAGCGAAGTAACAAAGAAAACATTGATTTATGACGCTCATATTTTGTCGAAGGAATAGTGTTTGTTAGTCGAAATATCATCGATAGAATATTGTTTGTTTGTCGAAATTTTATCGAATTGTATAGTTTTGTGGTTTGAATGTTAGTGTATAATGTATATTATATTTGATTTTTTTGTTTATTTGCAGCTTGTCCTTACTTTGGTACCATACGATCGTACGTCCGTTTTTCGGTCTCGACGGGAATAATCTTCGAGCCGGCGTGAACGCCGCGAAACAGTTGTTAGCCGAGTGTCATCCAGAGTTCAGTAATTCGGCGCTCTTCCTGTTCTTCGCCGGTCGAATCGAGAGACTCGAGGTAGAAATGTTTGTTTTAGCTTTAGGGTAATTAGTGGGGACTGAAATGTATAGGGTTTATTCTAAAAGTTTCCAAACGCTAAGTAGCTACGTTTGTTTATTTAACCAACTTTAATTGTAACGATAACTACCTTTAACGGAAATTAAATTAAAAGGTTTTAAATAATAAAAAAATTGAATATTAAAGATTGTTTTAAAATAATGAATAAACTAGATAGAACTAATCGCTTTTCCGCGTTATTTATCTACAGTTTTCAATGATTTATAATCGATTTAAATCCTATTTGCAGTCAAATGTGGCCGGCGCGCTCGAAGCCTACAAAAAAGCTGTCGAAGTGTCGAATCAAAGAGAGGTGAAACTACTCTGTCTGCACGAAATGGCCTGGTGTTACTTAATCCGCTTTAGCTACGATAAAGCTTATCCATCCCTGTCGCGACTGCGCTACGAATCCAGGTGGTCGAAAAGTTTTTACGCTTACCTAGGAGCAGGTAAGGAATGAATATTAGGTAACCTGGATATAAAATTTAAAAATCGGACATCTCTATTGGTCATCTATTATCGGAATAAGATTTTATCTATCCTTCATGTGATGACTGGAGTTTAGCAAATTGTTAGAATCTTGGCTTTCAAAGAATTCACTAGTTCTAAAAATCCAGAATTTCATTTTGATTGAATGAATGACTATTTATTTTTTATTGGTATACACAATGGTGTTTATTTCGATATTACTGTACATTTCACGCTTTAAAGTCGGCAATTAAGTTCCAAATAACCTAATATACACTAAAGTCGCGTTAACTGCGCGAAGGGCCTTCGCATATACTTTCTATATACTTTCCACGCGTCATCCCCACCACTGAAGGGATACTGCTGGAACCAGTCAAGCGTATCATTTATTACGACCTTTAAAAGGTTTTAAAGAATGACTAATGATTATATTTAATATAAATAATTATTAAATTATTTAAATGATTAAACGCCGGCATATCGGTGAGACAATCCTAACGCAACATTCGGCTACCACGACTCTTACTTTCTCTTTCCTTCTTTTTACCGGTCCTTTTCTGCGACCATCGAGCTGCTGGCATTACATTGTATGTACAAAGGCGAGCTTTTAATTCACGGCGGGTTAAAATGGTGACCGTCCACGTTTACTGCGCGCATGTGGTCCCAAATTTTGCGCAGTTAACGTGACTTTACTGTAATTAAAATTTCACGCTTTAAAATCATTATAAATTAATTTTACAAATAACCCAATATATTATAATATCGGAATCTCGTTTGTCACACTTTGGTTAATCACCTTGTGCTTCCAGTTTGTTGCGGAGCGATCGGCAACTTCGACGATGTGACGACAACCTATCAGAAGATTCGATACTTCGCCAAAGGGAGAAGTAGAGAAACGCAACTTGGCTTGTTCATTCAGCACCGAGCCCCGAAGCTGGTGGACCAAGAAACCGGTCAGCCGTACACGGTCTTGTACTACAGACTGCTCGTGTACGAATTATTGTATTTGTGGAACGCGATGTTGTCCTGTACTTCGGAGTCGCTACGAAGAGTACTTCTAGGTATGTACAGGGTGTCCCACCTAACTTGTGCACCTTAAATATCTTGCTTTTCATTTGCAGAAAGTTCATTTTAACAAACGCTCAATATGATGCCCATCAATTTCGATACATTTTTGCACTAATCCCTCTATCGTAATTATTTTATTATTTAAGTCTACTCTCATACATTTGTCAATTTGTCGTACTCAAGGTCATACGAAGGTCACACTATTATAGGTCATTGGATTGGTCTTGGTCTCAACTATTACGTCATACTGACGAAAATACATATAGTCCTATTTAAAAAAACATCGATGACCTTGAAATTTCGAAAAATATGACCTTGAGAGAAAATGTTTCGCTTATTATAGTATTTGCTCCTTTTAACCAAATAATACTTTCCACTCACATTTTTTTGTATCTTCCAAAACTAGTGAGATATTCAAGGTGCCCACGTTAGGTGGGAAACTCTGTATACATCAAAACCTGAGAAAACACTTAGGAAATAATTTTTTTAACCTTTAGATGCCTAAAATAAGCCCTATTAAATATATATTTTTAGAAAATTTGGTATATGCTGTTTTTTTCCTATTTTCAGAAATAAGAATACTTGAATATTTCATGATCAGACTACAGCAAAGTTTATGCAAATTTAGATATTAAATATTTAAAAATTAAAATAGGACAGAGTTTTGAATTTGGTTCTAGTATTAAAGAAAAAGAAGCACTGATCTTGAAAAAACTCAAGGTCACCTTGATATCTAAAAAAAAATAAGAGAAAAATATCAAATTGTTTTCATCCGATGCATCCCTTAAAATGCTACATAATTTATTCAAACGTTTTCTGGTACAATCAATATGTAACGAGTTATTTTAGCTAGTAGTTCTTATTGACGTACCCTGCATACCGATTGAGGTTTATATAAATTATATACTAATATAAATTATAATTGTTCATTTTGAGCGTATATCTTATGAATCGTTAAAATATATTAAAAATATAATTAATTTTTGTTAGAATGCCAAGGCAATCGATCGGACGAACCAATGGTCGGATTAGCCGATCTGATCGAAGGAGCGGCTCACTCCTACTTGGGGGACAGGGAAGCCTCGATTGAAAGTTACCGAAATTGCCTGAGACGACGCAGTCCGTCCAACGATACTTGTGATCAACACATTAGCGCGTTCGCCCTCTATGAGCTTGGTAGCGCACTTTGCATCACTAACGTAAGTGCTACGTGCAGTTAACGCGGGATTTTTAAATAAAGTTTAAATATATATTTATTTATTTTATTCGAAATCGCCCAATTTGGGACATGGCATTTCTTTAAAAAATTCTAGCAACACTGGGTGGCAGCACAAATAAATGCCACCATAAAAATTGAAAATTTACTAAATGATATAATTAACCCTCAGAAAATAAGGATGGTGCAAATAGGGATTTTGAATTTTTGATAATGATTAAGAACTTGAATAGAATGAAACAAAATTGAACTCGTACATATTTTTTTTCGCCTAAAATTTCCCCAGAATATCAATGGTAGTAGTTGCAAAAGTGAGAAATAATTTTTTATTGTGATTGAAGGAAACCATCATTATGATAGCCAAACTAAAAAAATGTTTTCTTTTTGAAAACGACGAAACTTTCAGAGAAATTTAATATTTTAGCGACAGCTTAATATAAAATCTGTGATTCAAACTGTTTCAGAATGTGGAGGAAGGAAGAACAGTTCTTTTAAGGGCCCTGAACGAATACAAAGATTACGACTTCGAGAGTCGACTCAGCGTACGGATACGTAGCACTTTGAGACGATTCAGTGAGGACGAATGAAAGCTCAGATATATATTACGTTACTTCCTGTAAATAGCGCCAGTAGTGACTTCGCGTCGATGAATATATAGGGTGGTCCCTTTTATCGTAATCACCGATATGTATTAGCTTCGCTGATCAGTTAATACAGAAACAAATTTCACGATTGGCAAAACATAACACTGGAAAGAGCTTTTAAATATTAGTTTCTGCGAATTAAATATTGAATAATAAAAATGAATTATAGATACGATTTCGAATATGACTTTTTATGTTTTAATATTAACTTTTCGAAGAAATAAAAATGAAGCATAGATATAACGTTTCAGTATATAACTTTTAAAATAGCTCATGGAAATTCTTTTATAATTTCTCATAAAAGAACGATATCTGATTGCACGGGGTTAAAAGTTGTCGTTTGTCAAGTAATAAATCACCCAGCATAAAAAAAAGAGAATTGCTTTTAAAAATATAAACACTAATTTCCTTCATTTATTTCTACACATAGTGCATATAGAGATATACAATAAAGTTGCGTTAAGTGCGCGTAACTCGGGACCACATGCGCGAAGTAAGCGTGGACGGTCACCATTTCAATCTTGTTAAAGGGTATTGGGGATGACACGTAAAAAGTTAACGTAGAGGTCCTTCGCGCAGTTAACGCGACTTTATTGCATATTGAGACTATTTTCATGCACTGCGCACATTTTCCATTGTATTTCGTGATGGTGCATTTAAAGTACAGGAACAGGTCTAATGTGACCCGGAATCAACGGAACAAGGGTCTAATTAAGTAATACTGACATTGACACATGGATTACTGTGTCCAAAGAATGTCTCTAAAAATATAAAACATTAGTTTCTATACACAAATACTCCACAAATGTCCTGTATTTCTAGAAACACCCTGTATATGCGTAACACGATAACTGGACTGAGAATATTTTTGCAAATATATAGATATTTATTGCCCAATTTAGAAAAAAACTGGAATTGAGCAGAAATTTGATTACTTTATTAACTGTTCGACGAGGTTCCAAGTGAAATAAAAATCTCATAAAATTGCATTAACATTTTAGTATATTGTGCATTTCAAAGAATGCAATATGCTACGGGTACATACAAAATCCGCAGTTTAAATACAACACACAAGCCTCGATAATGCAAACCAGTTTTCCTAAGATATTACGTGTACCAATGAATAATTTACTGTACGTACTTTTACTGAAATAATAACATAACCTAAAAGAAAGTCAAAGCACCCTCCCACATTTTGCTTTTCAAAATGGCGGACAACGGTGACATAGGTCGGCTATTATTGGAGCGTCACAGCTAAATTTTCATTTCCTGGAAAATGACTATTTTATGTGATGACCAATCGTAGGTGAATTATTTATCGGTACAACTATTTAGGCGTGCGGTAAGATACAAATTCCTATTTTCATAGTTCATTTTATTGAGACCAGAAGCGAGGAGAAATTTCTTTTGTATTATTAACACTGGAAGGATCGGTTATTTTGACCCACATGTGTTTTCATTTAAAAACAAAAAAGAAATTCTGTTTTTGTATTTATTATTATAATTCGTATTTGTCTGTACCTACGTATTCGAAATTTTTTGAATATCTTGAAAATAGAAATATCGTATTAAATTACCAAATGGAAAAATGGGTCACTTTTATGCAACCGATAAGTGTACTTCTAGTGTTAAGAGGTTATTAATCATGTTAATTGTTACTTGTACAAGGGCGATTCAATGGAAACAAAACAGTCTGGTATCATGCACAAAGAATTTTCTTCTCAATGACGTTTGTCGACGCATTCAAGGTCATTCGATATTCCGAATAGAGAGACCCAGCGTCTTCTTTCATGCGTTCACGAAATGATGTTGAGCTCAGAATTTTGAAATTCGAAAGAAGAAAGTTAGTTCCTTCGAGTGATTGGGTCTCGTTATGGGATCGACAGGTTTTGTTTCTAGTGGACGACCTTCATGAAAGGTATACAATTGTATTTGCTCATGTACACGTAGAAAGAAAAATATAATTCAGTACATTAATAATAACGAAATTGTATTATTTATTGCATTCATTAGAAAACTTCCTCCTATGCCTTGAATTGATGCATAGAACTTTAAAGCATTTAAAAAGTTAGACCATCGTAACATTCGTATAATTAACCAAAAAAACCGTTCTCCGCCATTTGGAAACGCAAAATTAAATACTTATATTTAAAATTTAGACTATATAATTTTACATGTAATTATTCAATATAATATTTCTTAAGATCACATTTAGACTGTGAGATAAGTATAGAGGCTTAACAGAATCTGTCTCGGAATGATTAAAGGGTTCGAGAAGAAAAAGTCGAGCTCAAATCGATATTTACACCAGTCACAGATGCCCAAGATTACGCTCGATCGCCGTTTGATCGCCTGAAATCCGTTCCAGGATTCGATCGAACGGAAGTCAGCCGATCAGCAGCACGTTTTATTTGATGAAACCTCGACCAAAATTTGATCGTATCACAGAAACCGCGGAGTGTATGTCACGGTCCATAAAAAGATCGAGCTCTGTGATTATGAGGACGATCCGATGAGCGTACGAAACACGTACTGCTGCGCGAATGGAGGAACCTGTCCAGCCGTAATATTGAATTCCTCTCGGCCACCCCCTTGGTACTGTAAACTCATCAAACCGTTTGTATTTTGCGTCATTACGTCGTTATTAGGTACGTTTTACTGCGTGATTACAAAAATTTCACACACTCTGGATAAAGTAACTGACACGTAATTGGAACGCGGTCCGGTATTTTTCGTCTTCCACGAACACATATAAATTACTGAAAAGTTATATATTACTATAAAGTTCCATTTAACCTATGACAAAGGACCCCAGAAAATTAGATTTATGTGTACCAATAAATGATACGATTACAGTTCCTAATTATTTATTACTTAATTCATCGTGAGAAGAAAAGTCAAGATTGTTACGTTAATTATTTAAGAAGGGGTGAAAGTCTTGATTTCTCTTTTCACTTTGCATTGTTTATATCCTTAATGTCGCGGAATATTCCAATTGCGGGTTAAAAATTACTATTAGATTTTAGTTTATCGATATAACGTTTAACCTTGCGTTAGTTAAAGGAAGAGAAGATCGATCTTACTTCCATTTATCACGAAAGTCGTCAGTGTCTTCAAGAAGCAGTTCGGTTTCACAAAGACTGATTTCCAGATCACAGTTGTCCATCCCTTTTTAGAAATTTTTTAGTCTAAGGTCATATGAAGGTCATAATATACCACATAGTTGAACTCGTCTTGACATTAGCTACTATGTTATGAAGTTAAAAATATATTAGTGCCATTAAAAAAAAATCGATGACCTTCACAAGACCTCGAAGACAACAACAATCAGCAAACTGTTTATATTATTATATTTACCTCCTTGAACAGTGCAACTTTTCTCTTTAACATTTTTTTCTATCTTCAATTTTAACGGAGATATTTAGGTGTTCTGTTTCTCGTGAATCGCCCGGTATATAAGTTACGATAAGTACGAAAATAATACCTCCGAAAATTTCAGCGATGTCAGTGTCCCATCTTTGTGACAAATACTCCGCCAGCACCAGCTTCAAAGTGATCAGATCGGACCTAGTGAACCTGAGGGCACACCTGAACACCCTATCGGTAACTACCACTCGGTCGGTAATCGTGATTGTACATTGCTCAAATTTCACGTTTGAACGATTTTTGTTCAGATGGAAGTAAAGAACGTGATGGAAACGCGAGATGATTTGAAGAGCAGGCTAATGGAGGTTGGTTATGTGATCCCAAAGATGTCCGAGGCCATTTTGTATTTAAGGAACGAAGTATCCGAAGGTAAAACAGATTCGTTCTTTCCTCCGTATGAGTACGGTTTATCGAAACTTTTTTTTAGAGACGATCGTTGTATTAAATATGAGACCACATATACAGAGTGATCTATAATATTATCTCGTTCATAAGTATTAGAACACTCAAGGAACACGGAATAGACTCGAATAAGCATTGTATAAAGTTAGGGGTCGAAATAGTCCAGTCGAATAGTACCAATTTCTTTCTCTGTTAAGGGCCTCTTCAGATCAAGAATATTAAATTTGATTGGAGTTTTATATTTGACTGTGTTTCAGACATTTCTGTTCGGTATAAATGCATGAAATTACCTAATTCAATGATTATGGGTTGAGCTATACAGAGAGAGTGATTCACTTAAGGCTGCCATCTAATCTATTTGTAAACTGTTTGTTATATGAAAAAATGTTTCAAACAAAAGTTGTAAGGTATCGAGAGGGGTATACAATGTAATAATTAGTTTTTTGCTATTTTGCTTTTTTATCGAGATATTAAGGACACCTTGAGTTCTTTATCGTAATGTGTAAACTTTGACCCTGCGTTCGGACAGATTGTTGAACGCTGAATAAAAAACTATTAGGGTATATATGTACGGATTTTACATTCACAAAAGTTTATCATAATTTTTCCAGTTGCACCATAAAATTCTTCACATTATCATAAAAGAATTCAAAGTGACCGTCATATCTCGATAAAAAAGCAAAACAGCAAAAAACTAATTATTACATTTTGTGCTCCCCTCGATACCATACAACTTTTGTCTGAAACATTTTTTATATAACAAATAGTTTACAAATAAATTAGGTGACAGCGGTAAACGATTCACCCAGTATAGCACTTATAGGCAGAGAAAACCCGTATAACCTATTGGTCAGCTCTCCACTGATAGGACAGACAGTTTTATCTATTTTGGTTCTTTTTGGTAAAATTGGTTGGAAATAGAAATAACTACGAAGTACGAAAACGTTTGTGACTGACGGTGCGCTTATAGACAGAGAAAAGCTGTTCTATTGACAGATTAGATAACGTTTTGTCTATGGCAATTCTTTTTCCTTAAATTTATTGGAAATAGAGTTGGCCAAGAAACACGAAAGCGTTTGGTGACTGACGGCGCGCTTATAGACAGAGACATACTATACGTAACCTATTTAGTTATAGCACACAGTACACTCTTTTTTCATTTTTAAATTGGTTCAAAATAGGAATGGATACGCACACAAAAGCTCTGTTAAAAGCCATGTCCCCGGAAACGGTCAGAGATTTGGTGAGGACCGAATTGCAGACGTACGATGCCGACAAGACTGGCAGAACGGATTACGCTCTTGGAAGTTCAGGTTTTTTTGAATCACTTAGGATATTTTGTGTTTTATATTTCTAGATATTAAATGAGTTCTCTCCTTTTTTCCCCTGTTCTGGGACGCATCTAGGAGGCGCGATTCTTACTACAAGGAACACAGAAACGTACTCGGCTGGTGCACCCGTCCTGAAATTTTTTGGAATTCCGCTTTGTCAACAACAAAACACGCCTCAAGCTGTAATTCAGGTTGTTCCTATTGGCTGACCTCGTTTATTCCACGAAAGTTTTAAGTCGACCATCCCTTCAAATCGAAAAATCTTCCGTTTTTCCTTGTTATCTGATTTTTCTAAGTGTAGCAATATTGAATAGCTATAGTAAGCTTTTGATATCAGTTCGACGACACCCTGTATAACATTTTTTCTTTTTTTTTTACCTATGTTTATTTAGCTCCTTAACTACTTCGATCGTTTAAATTAAAAAAAGTTAACATTAAATTCTTTTCTATTTTCTATTTAATTCTTCCGGATTAACCGGTAATTAATGTCTCCTCATTACTTTAAAGACTAGCGTTAATTGACGCCAACGAATTACTTCAAAGACCAGCGTTAATTAATATCTACCAATATTATTTTAAAGACTGGCGTTCTTCCGGGCGAATGCTGGGCATTCAAAGGCAGCAGCGGTAGCGTTGTCATACAGTTACTTGGCCCCGTACACGTTTCCGGTGTCAGTTTAGAACACATTCCAGAAACCATATCACCCACAGGGGAAACGAGCACCGCACCGAAGGATTTCTCTCTTTGGGTAAATCGCACTAATTTCGTGACTATAATTGTCAGAGCAGTATTAATTTAATTTATTCTCTATTTAACACATACTTATTCACTTAAACAGCATAATATTAAATAACACAAATTACGTAATCTGAAATAATTTACTATATTAAATAATTTAAATTACTAATTTTGGAGTAAATTAATATACTAACGATAAGAGTGCATTAGTGAAAAAATAATAATTTTATTCAATTAATTTTTCTCTGGTAAATGAGGGTTGAACGGCTTAACCCTTTAACCTTACTAAATCGTGCTTCCAATAAATACAGTAAAGTCGCTTTAACTGCGCGGAAAGGGTGTTTCTAGAAATACAGGACATTTGTGGAAAATTTGTGTCTAGAAACTAAGGTTGTATACTTTTAGAGATATTCTTTGGACACAGTAATCCATGTGTCAGTGTCAATATTACTTAACTAGACCCTTGTTTCGTAGATTCCGGGTCTCATTAGACCTGCCTCTGTACTTTAAACGCACCGTCGCGAAACACAATGGAAAATGTGCGCAGTGCATAAAGATCGTCTCAATGTGCAGTAAAGTCGCGTTAACTGCGCGAAGGGTCTCTACATTAACACTAGGTTTACGGGCATTTATCGTGTAGGTATCTCCACGGTACGCGTCAACGAACCCGCAGATTTTCTTTAAAAAACAACTTATTTTATATAATACACAATTTATGATCTCTGAAATTAATGCATAGCTATAGAGATAGGTATACTACATAGAGAATTTCGAGGTTAGAAAGCATTCGAAATGCGTCAAAATGACACGTCCCGTAAACCTAGTGTTAATTTTCCATAAGACATCCCGACGAAACACCCCTTAGCAAGGTTGAAATGGTGATCGTCCACGCTTACGGCGTGCATGGGGTCTCGAGCTTCGCGCAATTAACGCGACTTCACTGTATTACCTTGCAAAATAATAAATTGAACAGTTGCATTGATTTTTAGGGACTGGATTGCGTGGACGATACACATCCATTTTTCTTTGGTGATTTCATGTACGACAATACTGGTCCTCCTATACAATACTTCGAGATTCAGGTATAGTTACGAGCTTCTTAAACTTGTACTAACTACTCGCTGACTAAAGAGAACTCAGAAAATTATTATTATAATAATAATAATATAAATAACAGTAATTAAAATAATAAAAATCTTTAAATGTCACGCCAACCGTTTTGCAATTCACAGACAGAGCCGAAGAAGCCGTACAAAATAGTCGAATTAAAGGTTCACTCCAATAGCGGTAATAATGAATACACCTGCATTTATCGAATACGGGTTCACGGTACTTTAAGCCAGAAGAATAGATAATGGTCCACACGTGAAACAATAATTGCTCAACGATCAACGGAGTAGAAATAGGAATTCTTCGCATGAATTTCGAACAATCGAGGGGGTCCGCGGCTCCACGGAGGAATTCCAAGATGGCGTCTCTACGTAGTGTAATATTATTAATAATATAATATCGATTTGGATAGGATTTTCGTGCGTATGTATGATGTATACTTTATCGTATAGTAAATAAAGACATATACACCATGGTGTTGTTATTATTATTTTGTTGTTAACCACAATATTGTTTTCTTGCAATTAAAATGGTAATATTAGAGAGAAAACTACATTGCAAGGACAGATTTCTTGAAAGATAATAACAAAAATTAGTAAAAGAATTTAGTTATTTAAAATACTAATTTTTTCGAAAAGCATTATTACTCTACCACTCCATATGGAAGTTCGGTAAATTTTTAAAACATTTTACTCAAACTTTTTTTTGCAAGATTAAAAATGTATACATATATTAATAATATCAGTTTCGGTTACATGAAGTTCCATACCTCTCAAGATTAGATCCTTCATCCACAACCACCAATCCAGGAGGCGTCATAAGAAGCAATGTTATACACAGTAAACTCGCGATAACTGCCTTTTGGACAAATACTCGTTAGGAATAGCCCCCTACTGACAATAATTGGTTGGATGACGTTTATGAAACGAGCTTCGAGGAAATTCCACATGCTATTTTGGCTCTCGATAATTACCCGTTTCTATAGCCACCCGCCTTTAGACCCCAAATCTGGGAAATTATCGCGAGTCTACTGTATTCACTGTAAAAGAAATTCTAAGAAATATCACAAACGAGACAAGATTCAACGTAATCGTCATTCAATTTATTACATTTGTACATATTTAAGTCTTGTTCTATGTCTCTATCGTCGTGCACTGTATATCACTCTCTCCGTCTCACGCACTCATCCACTCGTTTCCCTGCTACTACTCCTTCCACCCTCTGTCCACCCCCCCTGCTCCACAAATTCGCTTGAGATCCACGTGACACCCGATCTCTCGGTCAAATCGCGTGAATGCAGAGGATGGCAGACAAAAAGGACGCATCACCTCGGTCTGGTAATTAAAATAGCACGTTACTTCTGTGAAGGTGGCGACTACTAGCCTTTGACGAGTTCTACTAAATGTTTCTCCTTCTATCCTTTATTCTCTTCCATGTCTGTTTCTCTTTCTGTTTTTCTTTTTTTTCCAGTTTTTCTTCTTTTTTTTTTAAATATAGACATAGACGATTACGCACTGCCTCCTCTAGGGGCGAAGAACAGACTCGAGAGGCACGCGGCAACAAGTACACTGAATAACACGTTATAATTCTGATTACGTTTCTTGTACTTATAATTCACGTAACTTGTACGCGTGCACGTGTGTTGTAACTTACGTGCGTGCACACGTGTATACGCGCTTATAAATATATATGTACCCTCACCCACACACACGCAGGCGTGTGCGATATGCACGATGTCCCATAACAGGCGTGTACATTCGGAAAAGATCCTGACTCTACGTGAAAAAATAAGACGAAAATTCGGTATCAAATGTTCTTGTAACTCGCTTCATTTTCGAGATACAGTTAAGTCGCGTTAACTGCACGAAAACGCGAGACTGCATGCGCGCAGTAAGCGTGGACCTCACCATATTTCAACTCTTCGTACATTTGGAGCCGAGCCTCGGTAGGTCGTTTTTGTAAGTACAATATAATGCCAGCAGCGCGATGGTCACAGAAAGAGACAGCTAATCAGAAAGAAAGAGAAGCTAAGAGTCGAGTCAGTCGAATGTTGCATTAGTGTTGTCTCACCGACACGCCGGCGTTTAATCTTTTTTGGGCTCCCCTCGATGGGGCGTGGAAAGTTAACGTAGAGGCCTTTCCGCGCAGTTAAAGCGACTTTACTGTATTTCCACATCGAAGTCCAATTTTAAGCGCTTGTGGGGTATAGGGACGTCAGAAGAATGCTTGTCACGTGACGTAACAGAAATTTTTATAATATACAGTACGCCCAATACTTAAACACATTAGTAGGTCAAGATTTCCACCAATATCGTGTTACTTTTGTTTCCTTGGCGAAACGTCGAGAAGACAAAAGGACTACTGGCCTATTGGTTGGTAAAATTGACCTATTGCAAAGCGTTTATGTAATGGTCCAGGCCGACATGACGTCATTACAATCACATAACGCGATTATCAAACTGCAGTATATCATCGATGAGTGTTCGAAGGCTCCCCCCCCCCGGCTCTGACAAGGAGATGTTCCCAGGTGTAACGCTAACTTTTTAATGAGGTTTATCACAGTGATAGAGCGTGGAATTCTGTAGCCAATGCTATTTGTTTCAGTCGCATATGACCATTAGTTCATGAAATATTTAATGTTCAGTTTCGAGGAGCCTTCGAACACTCATCGATGATTTACTGCAGTGCGCCCCTTGATTCATACAGTAGTGAAAATCGACAATTTTGTTGAACTGGTTCAGTGCCATAGATACTTGGTCAGAATGAAAATTCTATTATCTCGAAATCGAAATGAGTCATAACAAAACTATTCTACACGTTTGTCTCATTTTTTCACACGTACAATCACCACACATGTCCACATGCGCGACACCAGTTAACGGACACCCTGCGTATCGTTTAGTTTTTTGTAATTTTCTCATCTCTGTGTGTGCTTTCTTCGCTTTTTATGCTTCAGCTTTTTTGTCGCAGATAGAAGTAAGTATTCCGCCGCTGCGGTGCGCACATAGATTATAGAGTTCCGTTTGTTCTCTGTTTATCCTAACCTCCGTTCCGTCTTCTTTTCTTCTTCTTTGGTTTACTTGCATGTAACGCACACACGTGCAGCTGATCGGCGAATTTTGTCGGTTAACACGAATCATCTCGTGGGCTAGAGTAAACTATATAATTCGGAGATCAGTCGTCTAAACGCTATCCTAGCTATTCGAAACTCGGCCGTGGTGCCGGAGGGACGCGCCGCGCATGCGCGTCATGTACGCGCTCGCACGGATTAGGTTAGGTTAGAATCCTAGGGGATCTCTGGTTAAAAGGTCCAAGGACAATCTTATACACAACTGTTGCCTTATTGCCTTTATACGTTGTGTGAGATAATATATAAGGTTAATTATTATTACACGTTTTTTTATTGAAATCTTTTGTTGAAAATATTTTGTTGAAACCAATTTACACAGATGTTGCACGGAAAAGGCGTGCAAATGTATTAAACCTATAATATTTGTTCTGCTAGTTAACTCGTCAAGAAGACTAGTAAAGATAGTCTGTGTATAGTAAATCATCCGTGAGTGTTCGAAGACTCCTCGATACTGAGTGTTAAAGACGTTATCCCTACCACTGGGTGCTTGACTGGTTCCACGGGAACTCCCGACCCAGTGGTGGGGATGACGTCTGCACACTCAGTGCCGAGGAGCCTTCGAACAATCGTCGATGATTTACTGTATTTAGCGCGTATTTTAATTTTCAGAGCAGCTAAGAAATAGAAACCTTTGTTTCGTGTTTCTGTGTGAATGATTGATTCTATATTTCGTAGGTTAGGTAGAGTAGGTTCGGTTGGGCTCGTAAGAGTGTACCTTAGACCTTTTAAGCGGAGTAATTTCGATTGTCCACAGTCAACAGTTCTACCGTCTCGCTTGCTATGTTAACAGACAGTGGCAATCACTCGACTGAGAGCAACGTCAATCGAATCACGGATTGTTTAATGACAAAATAATTGTGGATAATCGGAAAAGTAATCGAATTAGTAGATTGTCGTGCCATGAGAAATATTCCTGCAGTTTATTCCGTTAGAGGTGATCACTTGAGTGCTCAATGTTTTGGGAATGTACAGTAAAATAGTCTCGTGATTCGAATTGTTAATTCTGGTTACTGTTCATTCACGTCAAGAACAACAGAACCACGGAATTTTAGTAAGAAGGCAATTGCAGCGATGAAAGATCGCAGTGACAAGGGAATGAATGTTTTTTAAATTATTGCTACACGAATTTTAATTAATTATGGCACTAGTTGTTGGCAACAGATGAAAATTTCATGAATTGTTTAACCATTTGAAGGTACGTACAGGGATTTAAGAGGCATTATACGTTAGAATATAGGTTACCATAATGGTGTTTATTGCAAGTAGATATGGCTCGTGTCAGACGTCACGTGACCACTGGGAGATTGGTCACATGAGTAATGAGAGTTGGTCATTTAACCAGTCCATCTGCCATTGTCCGATGAAATTGTGAATTTTTAACGAGAATGAACAATATCAATCGATAATTTCGTAACAAAAAACTGGTTATAGCGACGAGTTTGAAGCTTATGTTTGTCATTTTTTAAAGTAACTACAGTTTAATTAATGCATGCACGACGTTCAATTTTGCCACATAGAATTACAAATTGTAACAGAGAAGAATATATATGTATAATAACCCATATTATTTTCTTTTTTCAATCAACAAATAAAATAATTCAAATGTAACTTTTGCAATCTATGCAAGAAATTATTTTATAATTTATTCAAAAATTGTTTTTGATGAACAAAAATAATTTATGACTTGAATGGGTTCATAAAAATGTTTTTTTTTCCCAAACTCGATCCTAAACTGTTTCTAAGTTGACAATTGTCTAATAAATTATTTATCAATTGTTATCCTTTAGTGTATGTATTTCTTATTTGTTAACATCGTTCATTGCCATGAAATAAATGCTATTTTAAAACGAAAATAATGTTACACTCCCTTGAATATTTTTCTCTAATCTCAATTTCACCTTTAAACACATTCTACTGCTAGAGTCGATTTCTTCTTCGATTCGATCGTAATTAATACGTGAAACAAATCCATCCACGCCTGAAACGTTAATTAACAGCTCTCTCGATCAACGGTTCAACGGCGTTACACAGGGAAATTATTACGTATTACGAATCCAGTAATAGTGATCGACGTTAATTTCATCCAGGTAGCTGATGAACAGATTTTAGAACGAC